TTTTCCAAATTACACAAAATTTGAATTTACAGCGACTCATCCACTTCACGTGCACAATGTAAACAGAAACAAATAAAGTTGGCCAAATTTCACTAAAGCTAAAGTTGAAGGCTACATGAGACGTACTTGAATTTCAGGACAGTCTGCACAGGACCAAAGATCTCATCCTTAGCTATCAGCATGTCATCCTGAGAATTTACAATGTAATTAATTACTAGGGATGTTCTTTTGAAATTGTGACAAGTTGCAAGATAATAAATGTATTTTTTAGCCAGGAAATTTATACCTTGACATCAGAAAAGACAGTTGGCTGAACGTAATAGCCCTTTGTCCCAAGTCTATCACCTCCAGTTTCGAGCTTAGCTCCAGACTCCTGACCAGACCTGATATACCTTAGGATCTTTTCAAATTGTTCAGCATCAATCTGCAAAGCACAAAATTATGATACTCAAGTTAATTGGAATTAAAAACAAAATAATCACAACAGAAAAAGGAAAAAGAATCTTACTTCATAGTGAACATGAGCTTCTAATTTATAAATATTGTTTTGTGCAGGGGGAGAATATTGGGCTAAAAGTTGGGAAAAATACAAGACAATGCTTGAGATTTAACTTAGTTACTTCTTTGGAAATAACAACATTTTGCATATATATAAAAAATATACCTTCTCAAGGGAGTTAATTTTGTAAAATCAAACAAATATCTTGGGGATAGATGCAATGTGGAAAGATAAGGTTTCTTTTTATTTTATTTTTTTAATTTTTTTTTGGCAATTACACCAATCCTCGTGGGTACTTCGTAATGAAACTGAAAAGATAGGCATGAATCAAGCCTCTAGACATGCATTGGGTGGATCGTATATATGAAATGAGTAGATAATGTTAAAAAGTAGCCACATCAGAAGCAAGTAGGCTATTGTACCTGAGGACCTTGCTCTATCCCTGCCTTGAAAGGGTCCCCAACAGCACGCTTTAAGGCACGTGCCTTCGCTTTTTCTAAAAACTCATCATAGACCTTCTCGTGTACAAATGTCCTCGAGCCTGCACAGCAACATTGTCCCTGCAGTATAGTTCCAAATCATCTTGAGAAGGCCAATTATTCATTAACTTATCTAATGACCGATGAGAGTAGAATATACCTGATTGAAAAATAGGGCAAAGTGAGCCAACTCAACAGCTTGGTCCACATCAGCATCCTCACAAACAATAAATGGTGATTTCCCACCAAGCTCCAATGTAACTGGTTTCAGATTGCTTTTTGCAGCAAGCTCCAGAACAATTTTGCCAGTGTCTGTTGAACCAGTGAAAGCAAGCTGCAATAGGCAGGAACACATTAAGGATGCAGTAGTATGTAATATGTACTCTAATCATACTAGCTTTCAATAAAATTAAGTCCATAACTGATAAAAGAAATGGCCCTTCACTGTAGCTTAAAAATATGACAAAGTTGGAAGTTGAGAAAGTTTTCTAGGAAAAGCTTCACAGGAGACTTCATTATTTTATTTTACTAATTAAGAATAGTTTCCACATTATTGCATGATGTCACCAAGATTAGCACCAATTGTATAGAGGAATCTGGTGCATATTATAGAGATCCTTGGTGTTAATGAATAGCTTAAACTGATTTTCCTTCCGTAAGGGTAAAAACAGCAACATGATAATTTTCTTATAGTTCTGAATATAATGTAAAAAAACATTAAAGTCATAACAATACACAGGTTTGAGCTCATTTCCACAATCACTGGCCCATAATGTGGGCACCATTAAATTTATATTTTTTATTTTTTAGAAAGGAGAAGAGCACTGTTAGTACGATGTATAGCTTCAACAAATTTTATATAGAATAACCCAAATTCATGGAACACATAATGAACTTTTATCATGGTCATGGCAAAAACCTGAACAAGGTAATAACTTTGAACTCTGTGTTACCTTGTCCACGTCCATATGACTGCAAAGTGCAGCACCAGCTGTTGGACCAAATCCAGAAACAATATTCAAAACACCCTCGGGAAGGCCAGCCTGCGCAAAGGCATGTCTACTATCAAAAGGCAAGTATATTATATAAGCATCATCTTATGTTCCAAAGGAAAATAAGAGAATAAGAAAACCCATCAAGCAGTTACAAATTGTTTATCAATAGTATGATGAAACCAAATAGACATGAATGAAGTGATTTTCTGTTTCATTTTGAGACCAATGACTTCAAGTGAAAATCACAAAAGTGAAAAAAAAAAAAAAAGCATGCAAATCTTGTCTATAGTGCAGCATTACCTCATGTAGGAGCTTTGCTACGACTAACGCGGACAGTGGAGTCTGCTCAGCCGTTTTAAGGACAATTGTGTTGCCACATGCTAATGCAGGTCCCACTTTCCAAGCAAACATGAGAAGAGGAAAGTTCCATGGGATAATCTGGCCTGCCACGCCAATAGGCTCGTGCAAAGTCTGGACGTGAAGGGGTCCATCAGCCGGAATAGTGAGACCGTGAATCTTATCTGCCCAGCCTGCCCAGTATACGAATCGAAATTGCTACAAATGTAAGTTAAAAAGAAATGGAAGGATTGTGAACAATTATTCTTTAACTCCCAGTGTCTGCACTCACCAGCATAATAACGAAATAGCCTAACAAACATAGGCACTTCTGTTTGAGCAGATTGTTCGTATGGCTTGCCATTATCCCATGTCTCTAGTGCAGCAATTTCATCATTATGCTTTTCCACAAGATCAGCAAACCGTAACAATACCCTCTGTCTCTCCTGCAGTACTTGGACAGTTTAATTAAGCACTATAAACATGTACAAATGGGTTCGTCACAAAGCCTACAACTGAGGTTCAGTCTAATTACGAAAAACTTCATTCATCTCAAATTGATGAAATAACCCCATGTTCAAGGAGGTCGTGTAATACTTTTAGAGCATAATTGCAACTTCAGAAGACAGCTCGAGTAATTTCGTGTTCAAGTTAAACGCCAGTGGTAGTTTCTGTTACTAACCAGTTACTGTTACTAACCCAAAATGAATCAACAGAAAAATAGTAAAAATCACGAGATAAGAGATCTTTACATAAGCAGTCATCTTAGGCCATGGCCCTTCATCGAACGCCTTACGTGCAGCAGCCACTGCTCGATTAATATCTTCTGCATCACCTTCAGCGACATATGTAATTACCTCACCAGTCCTTGGGTCCAAGGTTGGGAAGGTTTTGCCTGAATACAATCAGTTGGCAAATTAGGTCATGCAGNAAAGACTGGTCGCATGTTAATTGAATCCACTTATTGAACAGACCTTTTGAACAATTATTTTTTCATTCAAAGAAAAAAAAAAAAGAAGAGCAATGATAAGAGAAAAGCCATACAGTTCAAGAGTGTAAATGGCACAAACAGTGGAAAGCAAACTATTAGCATACGAAAATATTACCAAAATGATGGCCTTATAAATATTCAATCAACAGCAATATAAATTAGAGATTATATAATTTCACAAAGACCAAGAATGATACCAAAAATGACAGCCTTTCTGAGAAGCCATCTTTCTTAGAGAGTTATGATGACAAGTTACATGTATCCTAGCACTACTATATCTTTGAGAAATAATTGAAAAACTTTTTGACCACTAAATAACGCTTGTACAAATATGATGTCCTATAGAGCTTCATCAGAAACACAATTCTTGACAATCACTGTATGACAAGGTTCGCTTTAACAAATCAAGACGAAAATAGATGGTCATGACTCATGACAGAAGAAGTCTGTATTAAGTATAACTGACATAAGTTTGCTCACCGTCACAGACAACAGATTAAAAAAAAAAAATCTCTTTTTTTTAGTGCCAATAATCACCCAGCTGCAAAATAAATAATAATTCTAATGATCTAAATCAGATAATCCATGGACGAAAGCATCATAAATTCCCAATCATGGGGTTCTTTTAGATATAATTAAAAAAAAATATCAGATGCATAGGGACGAGTAGCAGAGTATCACTAAACAGCATATATGATATACCATATATTCCCCTTCATCTCAATTAAATATATACAAAGCAAAATTGTGTACACCTTCCCAAAGGGAATACGATCACATAATAATAATCAAGTATATAAGAAAGAAATAACAGATAAAGACCATGCCATATACCTCCACGAGAAAGCAAAGGGACGGAGCGAGAAATCAGAGATGAGATTCTGCGAGCTGCCATTGCCAATTGAACAGCGCCAAATTTTATCGGCACACAAAATCAGCGTCGAGTTCTTGAAGCAAATTCTAATTAAGCGTTAAATGATCTATTAGTGAGATATATACAAAGAGGAAGAGCAGTACGTGCGGGACAGAAGATGAATGAATGGATAAGCTATGAAGATTTTTGTAAGGTCTAGCAAACAGTGCGGATAGCGATGAAAGAGTCAGTGTCAGACCGAGTGAAAACGAATATAAAAAAGTTAGTGGGGCCTAAACTAGCAATTACATACTTGATTGTTGGATATTAATTTTATTTTAAGATCTTTCTATTTTTTGTGCTTTTTTATATAGATGTGAAAAAAAACAATGTCGGACGTCAGCTCAAAATGGAAAAAGAAAGTTCAAATACGGTTGGAAACCACTAAACTAGCAATTATAAATAGATATATTCCGACTTCTTGTATTTTCTCCATGATTGGGTATTAGGTCAAAATATATTTCGTCTCGATTACCTACAGATCTTTTACTGTATTACTCAATATACCTTTCTTCTATTTATACCAGTGGAGCAACAAGAAGAAGATAAAGCTCCAGTGAGATCTAGAAAGAGAGAGAGGCGTGGGGCGTGTGTTTGTATAATGACCTACGTGGCACTATTGGCTCCATAGCATTTCTCTAATTTTAAGTTAAGTTTTTGTTTTTCTTTTCTATCATGTCTCTCCATATATATTAATGCAAAATGTCCTCGATCCTATGTATCTAATTCTGATGCCTCTTAAGTCTTAATCCATGTGGCGAATTGCCGAATTCTAGTAATTCGTAATCGTATGTTTGATTTGGAGTAAACCATCTAAACTTCTATTTATGTCTACTAGAACATTAAAACTATAAATTACTTTGACCAACTTAAACTATAAATATATGTAATAGCTAATAACTTTTGTACTTGTTATCAGATTTTCATATATGAAATTATTACCTCTTAATAAGCTTTGATTTGACCAATGTCTCAATCCTAAGTGTCGACTTCTAGTGCTTCTTAGTCCTATGCGGTGAATTATGGTACTTCGTAACTCTATTTATTTGGTTTGGAGTAGTCCAGAGGCGGGTCTACGTTTGTGTTGGGGGAGGCCATTGTCCCCCCAACATTTTTGTTTTTTTCTATTAAGTATATGTAAAATGATATTTTTATATTCATCTTATTTTTAAATAAATATATTGAGATTTTGATAATCAAATCTTACTTAAAAATAGGATATTCAAAAGAAAGTACTAGTAGAAGAATATGCACAAATCTATCCTAACTCATTTGTACTAGTCCATGTACTAATTATTATAAATAATAATTAGATCTTGTAAGACTCTTATAAATATGTTTGTATATAATTTAATACGCTACGAGGAGTAAATTTAATATACAGAGCGCTTAAGGTATGCAAGTTAATATGGTGGAAATATATGATATATGTTTATAGAAAATTTGAACATGAGATTTTTTTTTTTCTTTATTTTTATTTTGTACAAGTTCGAGTCAACTATTAATATGTTCCATAACTTGAGAAAATTAAACAACTCTAATTTCTAGCAAAGTTTGGAATTACATATTTTTTCTATTATATTAAATGGGTGATATTTTTAAAAATTATACTGTTCACCGCCTCCCCCACTAAATTTTTCTGGATCCGCCCTGGAGTAGTCGACGTACATCAAACTTATATCCTATGTCTTGTAGGACTTTTGAAATTATAAATTATTTGACCAACTTAAACGATAAATATATTTAAAAGTTAATGACTTTCGTATTTATCATATTTTTATATATGGTATATCAAATTAATTATTTCTTACTTCATGATTATACATAGTTAATGTTATGAGTTATGATGAGTTTTATGCATAAAACAAATATGGGATCACTTCAATATTATTAAAATAAAGTATAATTTCATATAACAATTTCTAAATAATTACTACTACGAAAAATATTTATTTTGGACTATGTTGTAGTAAGAAATTAATTTTTCTTTTATGCTTTCATATATGAGGATACATGTATCACCTTCTTCAAATTTTTTAATTATCTTAAAACATTCATTTAAAATAAAAATAAAAATAAAAATAAACTCAAATAAAATTAGTATTAATATATTTGGAATAAGGAAATAAATAATATTTAGAATGGCACCAATACCCACGCGCCTGTATCAGCGTGCACCAGGCAAGCCACGACAAGCTCAAATCACCTCAAGCAATCCCTAGGCAACGCAAACTGACTAGCAACAATGGCGCGACGCCTAAGGCGATACGAGACGCGACTCAAAAATCGTGAGACGCACGACCGAAGGTGAGGAGGACGGCGAGGTAAGAAGATTGTCTCAAAACCGTTCGCCTAGCCCCGTAGGTCGTGTATGTCTGTACATAGTCGGCAAAATTTTAAACAGTAAGTTTCAAATCCGATTGTTAGTTTTTGTTGCGCATAGGATTCATTTCTTAGATTCTCAATCGATTTAAAGCACGACAGCCGATGTTCCTCACAGAACCTGACACACTAAATTCTATTGGATACTTAATTACTATATATACGATTTTGTTATAAAAAATATATCAAACATACGAACTTTTCAGTTCGCACAATTGTTTAAAAAATCACATTTTTTTATAATCGTATGGATACAGATGCCCACAGTACGGATCTGGGCCTAGCTCAGCCCGGCCCAGCTCGCGGGACGTCAGGTCTGAAAACACGTACCTAGAGCATATCCGGATGTAGGTACGGGCCGGTTCACCGGCCTGACGGTTTAGGACTGGTTCAACCCGGCTCCAGACCGGGTCGGCCGGGTTCGGGCCGGTTCAATCGGTTTCGGTTTCGGCCCGAGCTGGTTTTTATTTAAACAAGATTGG